TTAACAAGGGAAATGGTCAGCAGATGATGATGAAATAACAACAGACTATCTCATGCAAATATAAGAAAATAGAAAGCATGTTAATTACAAAATATAGTTGGCAGTTAATAGTTCCACTACTATTAAACTATTCTCATATCTCACGCCCCCAGCCTTGCACCCCAGCTCTTGCCCCCAGCCTCTCAACCCTACAGCCCCACCTGGCACCCCACCTTGGCCTTGTGCCGCCACCTCATCTGCTCCACCATCCTGCCTGCAAGGCAATCGATCAAGGCCCATCGGGGCCAGGCTCCCTGCCTGGCTCCCTCAGTGCCTGGTCGCCGTCTGCGGGGCAATTGGCTGATGCCTGCAATGTTCCGTGCCACCCCCTGGTGGTCAGCACACATCATAGCAAGCGGTCAAACTCCCAGTTGAACGACCACCCCAGGGATAATTTGCATATTAGGCTTTTATTATATAGGATGTGTAAGATGTCCATTTGATTATGTTCTGCTAACAGTGTACAAACTGAGTTAGATACAGGCCTTATCCCTTAGGAATTATTGTGGCTCAATAAGAACACAGAGACAAATATAAAGATAAGGACAGAAATATCTCTACAGATATCAAATACATAAATAAAATATTCTGCATAAAAATAAAAAATAAGAATACAGTAGTAATATTATAAATATGTGACAGGCACTGTGCTAGGCTCTGGAACATAGCACCACTGTAGACCATCTCCAGCTACTTAAATAGTAATTTAAGATAAATGTGATAAATAAATGAGGCAATGAAATACACGGGCCGTAGTTTGCCCACAGCTGGCCTAGAGTGTTTCCAACACAGTTTTAAAAATTAAATTCATTAAATCAGACTCATAAACAAAGAAGTCCAAAAGCAACTTTAAAAATACATTACTAATTTGTAAAATCTATGTCTTTAAATTTAGACATGAGATTATATTGGTTTTCTTATTTAAAAAAAGGGGGGAAATTGCAACAAAAAATAAAAATGCAAAGGCAAGATAACAAATATTTTGGGCTCTTGGACTAAAAAAGATAATGATTGGTGAGGAAAAATGAGAAGTGAAGACAAATGAAATAGACCATACTACTGATGTTCTTTTTCATGTTAAAAAAAGAAAAAGCCTTTTCATCTTATTTGGATTGATTTAGAATGAGTAGTGATAATTTGGGGGCTAAAACAATCAACAATACAGTCATTAAAACAAAAGGGTTATTTAGCATAATTCTAAAATAGGAATTTTTGTATGTATTTACACATACATTTTTCTTAGGTCTCATGCTGAATGATATTTGATTGTTCTCCCTTCTGTCTTATAATTATTGAAACTAGAGGCCCGGTGCACAAATTTGTGCACTGGTAGGGTCCCTCTGGGTGGCCTGCCGAGTTTGGGCCCCAGCTCACGCCCCCAGCCTTGCAACCCAGCTCTTGCCCCCAGCCTCTCAACCCTACAGCCACACCTGGCACCCCACCTTGGCCTGGCGCCGCCACCTCATCTGCTCCACCATCCTGCCTGGGAGGCAATCGATCAAGGCCCATCGGGGCCAGGCCCCCTGCCCGGCTCCCTCAGTGCCTGGTCGCCGTCTGCAGGGCAATTGGCTGATGCCTGCAATGTTCCGTGCCACCCCCTGGTGCTCAGCACACATCATAGCAAGCGGTCAAACTCCCAGTTGAACGACCACCCCAGGGATAATTTGCATATTAGGCTTTTATTATATAGGATGTGTAAGATGTCCATTTGATTATGTTCTGCTAACAGTGTACAAACTGAGTTAGATACAGGCCTTATCCCTTAGGAATTATTGTGGTTCAATAAGAACACAGAGACAAATATAAAGATAAGGACAGAAATATCTCTACAGATATCAAATACATAAATAAAATATTCTGCATAAAAATAAAAAATAAGAATACAGTAGTAATATTATAAATATGTGATAGGCACTGTGCTAGGCTCTGGAACATAGCACCACTGTAGACCATCTCAAGCTACTTAAATAGTAATTTAAGATAAATGTGATAAATAAATGAGGCAATGAAATACAGGAAGTATTGGCTGATAGAATGCTGTTATGTAAAAAAAACAAAAAACACAGTGCTGTTGTTTTTGAACTATAAGACTGATTAACTATCTCTGTTGAGTATGTTTCACTACTTAATATTAGCTTACAAATGATAATAACATACCACTACCCTTTTAGGTATATTGTTGTCATCTATATCTATACTAATAAAAGCCTAGGTGGCCCTCGTGCCCTCGAGCCCTCACGCCCTCATGCAACACCCTCACATCATCACAAGATGGCCTCCCCCACATTGTCACAAGATGGCCACCACAAGATGACCGGCAGGGGAGGGCAGTTGGGGGCAATCAGGCCTGCAGGGGAGGGCAGTTGGGGGTGATCAGGCCTGCAGGGAGGGCAGTTGAGAGGGACCAGGCTGGCAAGGGAGGGCAGTTAGGGGTGACAGGGCCAGCAGGGGATGGCCGTTGGGAGCGACCAGGCTGGCAGGGGAGGGCAGTTAGGGACAATCGGGCTGGCAGGGGAGCAGTTAGGCATAGATCAGGCTGGCAGGGGAGTGGTTAGGGGGTGATCAGGCTGGCAGGCAAAAGCAGTTAGGGGCAATCAGGCAGGCAGGCAGGTGAGTGGTTGGGAGCCAGCAGTCCTGGATTGTAAGAGGGATGTCCCAGATGGGAGAGGGTGCAGGCTGGGCTGAGGGACACCCCGTGGATGAAATTCGTGCACCGGGCCTCTAGTTTTATTATAATTATACATACAAAATCATAATAGTTTCAATAGATAACAAGAAATTAGAAATATCTTGATAGCATTTTAATACAGCAACAGTATTTTTTTCTAAGTCTGACTTCTATATGACTAATCTCTTGGTGTTCCTATAGATATATTGTATTGTTTACTCATTCTTCATAGACTCAGCTTCTCTATGTAGAACTGCTGGCATTTTCAGTCTTTAAACCTCATTTCTTCTGGCCTATTCAAGATGGTATCTTCAAACACCACTTTTTATCTAGATCCCTTGATCCTCCTATTATATATTTTTATATATTTGACATGTTCCCAACTCTTATACTTGTCCTGTGTATGCTTTCTTTTCTTCCATGTCACTACTCTAATATGCTTTATTCTAGTTCCCTATCATCTCTCTTCTGAACATTCATCAATATTACTTGTCTTAGGTCACGAGCTCAAAATGAAAATGGTCCGAAGAGAGTCACACATGATTGGGTATTTTACATTGCAATGCTTGATACCACAACCACCTCTCTTGCTTTTCCTAAGGCCTCTGTGGCTAAGGTGATTTACCATGAAGTTTTTACTGTGACAAGTGAGAGGCAGTGTCCCTTCTCCTTGTTTTCTTTCGTCAAAGGCTGCAAATGTCAGAAAAATGGAACTCAGCCCCTTAGGAAGCCCCAACACTCAGAAGCAGGCATCTCAACCCTCAGTTCTTCTCCTCCTTTTCTCATTACAGCAGCAACCTAGCATCTCACACATTGGAATAGAGGTTTTCTAAGATTTAACCTCCAATATTGCCTTCCCATCTCCCCGCTCTTGCTCTCAATAACTTCAGTTATAGGGCATTTTCTCTCAGGTATATTACACATAATTAACACTAAATATATCTCAAACTAAGAAGTTACCTGTTATATTTAAGCTCTAAAATACAAATAAATTAAATAGAAAGTATATACAAAATTCTTTCTGTATTTACTCTCTTTTTTCTACCTACCTTACTCCATTAGATATTTATTTCACTGGGCAGAACCTGAGAACATGCCATTTAAAGATTATTTTTTAAATGACCAATTTAAGGAATCTAGAACACTCAAATGACTCTCTGCAATGCTTTCTACCCTCCTAAAGAATATGATCAGTTGGGAGATATCTATGTGAAGAGGGAGCAATAAAGATTTCTGTATTCAGAGTATTTCATAATAATAAAGATCCAGAGTTTTCATACTTAATGTACCTGACACTCAAACACTGGTCAGGTTCAGTTTTGAAAGTTATTCAAAAGATTAGTTGATATTTTGCAAACTGAATAGCTAACTGGTTTATTATGGCTGTAACTCTACTAACTGTATGCTTTTATATAATAAAACATTAGGTGTTAATATAAGAATTCCTATTTTGTTTCCTGTGTCTTGGGAAAGGAATGCTCATAGTCCCGTTTATAAAAGTAGACATTATTGTTATCATCAAATCCTTTTTGGAAGTAGTAGAATATAAATATTTAATAAATAGAATTCGATTATCTTATGTTAAACATGATTATATAGCTTTTTTTTTTTTTTGGTTTAAACCGCAGTATAAGAAAGTACCAGTAAGAAATATATTCAGAACTTAATGCTAGAATATAGAAATACTGTCACCATTTTACATATCCCCATAGTTTTTAGAAAATAAATTTGTTGGATAATTATTATGTTTTGAATTTACTACATAGAAATGCAGGAGGCAGATAATGATAATAGTGTTATTCTGTTTTCAGAGAAAAGCTTCCTGGATAAATATGGTGTTCACCACTCCGGAGAGAATAAATGAATTTCCCTGAAAGAAGCTCATGGGTGGATTTGTAATGGGAAAGAATTTGCGACTGAAATGAAATGAATACCATCCATTGAAGAATGGTATGTTTTGTGCTGTCTCCATATCACTCAGCTCTTTGTATGAGCGTGCATCCAGCGCTTCCTCTCTGCATACTAATGGGGTGCATTAAGCCTCATGATACTTTCATACCAATTCTGATAACTATAAGAAAATAACTCCCACGGTGAGCATTTCAAAAATTCTACCATTTGAAATTCAGGTCAATTTAGTCTGAATATTCTTGTCCAAATGTGAATATATGTATAAAAATGTGAGCTGCAGGACAGATAGGTTCATATTCATACCTTCACTAAGCTTAAAATTGCTATCTGGCATTCTGAATAGGCTGCCAGCTCTCAACATTCTCAAGAAAGTGTTACTTACTACAGTTTTCTTCATCTGAATTATCACTGCAGTCATTTTGGCCATCACACCGCCAGTGATCTGGAATACAGTTGTTGTTTTTACACTGGAATTCATGGGGTCCACAAGTTTTCTTATCTGTAATAGAAAGAACCAGAGTTTTCATTGTTGACTTCCATGAAAACCTCCCTGACAGTATCCTCACTGCCAGGCCAATTCCAGGGCATATAACATTTCCTCAGAATTTTATTAAATTCTAACTCAGAAGGATTCCCTAGGAAAACTGAAGGCAGATAATGAATAAAATTCATCTTTCTGTCTTGTTTTATGTTGTTATAGGTCATATTTTTATCACAAGCTAATTACAAAGCAATTGTTCAGATCACCCATACAAACTCAACACAAAGCACCAATTAATGAAAACAAATGAGCATCAAAATTATCCCAAACTTCCCTTCTCTTTAGCACACTCCCTCCCTATGCCACCTTCTATTTATGCCATAAAGCAGCAAAAGGAAATGGTTATCAATCAGACTCTGAGGTTGTCATCTTGTCTTTCTCCCCACGGAGCTCTTATTCATAATCTCCCTATAGTCAGCTGCTCCAATTTCATAAATCATAATAGTGCACAACGTGCAAACCTTGACAATTAATGAAGTGCCATCTCACTGGAACATCTAAACAATCTCAATGAGTATCAGGAGAGGTATTAACTCGCTTTTCACTTTACAAATGACAAAACAGAGACTCTTAGAAGTTTATGAACTTGATGAATTTTCACTACCATTAAATGGCACAGCCAATATAAAAAAGTATGCCTTTATTCCTGATTTAGTGCTTTTTATAACAAATCTATGTCCATATGAATCAGTTTCAGAATGCATGTAATAGGAATTTTTTAATGTTTAGGTCACATATTTTAAAAATTTCTTTGAATAATATCTGTACATAGTCTAAAACAGTACTTAAATTTTAACATGCACACTTATAAATCACTTGGGAATTTTGCTAAAATAGAGATAATGATTGAGTAAATCTGGATTTCTAACAAGCTCTTTAGTGGTAACATTGTTCTTAGCAAGGTTCTAAATAATCAAGATGACATAAATTCAATAACATAAAAATAATAAAATTATATGCACTAGTATACAAATTAAACACATTTCTTTCCCTTTCATATACTTAGATACACTCCTTATTCTCAGACATATTAAAGAAAACAGTGAAATGTTTAACAATTTAGACTGGTGAAATAAATTAACTAAAGGAGAAGATCAGCTCTTTGGTGATGGTTGCTATACTTTACTTCAAAATGTGTATTATATAATTGAGATTCAAATAGGATTTTAAAAGCAAAAGTGATTTATATATAATTATAAAAATTAAATAATGAACGTCTATTGAGAACTCAGTCTACCTCTTAGCTAAACATTTTCATAAATATGATCACACTCAATCTTTCTAACATCTGTAAGATGTATTATTACATGCATTTAAATACACAAGAAACATAAGTCTTAGAATTTAAGTTACTTCTCCAATCTTATAAAGCTATTAAATGACAAAAGGGGCATTTATATACAGATCCCACTCCAGAATATTCTACATTTCTGTAGAAATTCTCATGATAGATTTCAAATACATTTTTCAACTAAATAGATAGATGATAGATAGATAGATAGATAGATAGATAGATAGATGATAGATAGATTGATAGATACCCCCACATTCTCTTCCCTTTCTTATTTCCTTTCTGCTTTCATGCCTGTCTACCTGCTAATGATGACTCAGAATGTAATGTGTGTCACTGTGTTGTATGCTATGTTTTATAATATATCCTGTTTGCCTGTGTCATACATAGCTTTAAATTTTAAAATTTGCTTAATATCTACAGAATTTCTAATGTAGCATTCTACACATCTCAGACAATCAAGAAATATGTCAGAATGGTTGGAATTTGAACAATGACCATTAAAAATATAGGGTTTGGTACTAAACTATTTAAATGGTTACTTCATTTTAGTAAATAAAACAAACTCTTCTGAATCTATTACTTTATTTATAACATTGGTTTATGTATTCCTTGTCATGTGTTCCTTGCATTATTCCTTTTTAAAAATGTTTTTATTGATTCTAAAGAGGAAAGAAGGGAGTGGGAGAGAGAGAAACATCAAAATGAGAGAGAAACATTGATCAGCTGCCACCTACACACCCCCTATTGGGGTTTGAGCCTGCAACTCAGGCATGTGCCCTGACTGAGAGTCAAAACAACAATTTTTTTGGTGCTTGGGATGATGCTCAACCAACTGAATCACACTGGCCAGGGCTGGTTTCATTATTTTTAAATATTGTTTTAAATTTTTAGAATATTAATGTAAGAAAAATCAGACTAGATCAGACAAACAGATCATGTGACCTACTATTAAAACATTGCCTCCAAGCAATTCTCCATGAGTGCAAAGGTTAACAAGTGGTACTGAGCATCAATACAACCCATTTTTTTTAGTTGTTTACCCTAAATCCGATTTGTATTTTTTTGTTTGTTTAAACGTTTGTATCATATTTTGTGTTTGAAAGAGTTCTGTACTTATTTTTTAAGAACAAGTTACAGTTCATGTCTAAGATGTTCATTTGGGGCATTCAGAAACAGTAACATGGAAAGGTTAATTGCCTTCTGTAAGGTTATTCAGATTTTATGTTTCCAAGTTATTTAATTTTTGGATCCATAACATTATTAATTAAAATTACAAATACAAACTATATCTGTATTTAAAATCTATTTAGACATGTTTGAAGACATATATATATATATATAGTGATATTTTAATAGGAAAATGTATGAGCAGGGTCTAAAACAGTGGTTCTCAAGTTGGCTCTGCATTAAAATCACCTGGGGGATTTTTAAAATTCCTGTCATTCCATATGTCACATCAGTATAATCAGAGTCTCTGGGGTGGAGCCCCAACATCAATATTTGTATTAAAGTTAGCCTGGTAATTCCAATGAACAGCCAAGATTCAAAATCAATGGCCCATAAAATTAATTGCAGAACAGAATATATGTAATCCACATTATAATACTCTAGTGTAATGAATATAAACTGTTCATAATATACAGTTTTCTATTAATTCATATTGTTAAATAGCATTGAAAAGTGTATTACTTTGGGTGTTGGAAATATAGAGAATGCAAATATAGCACAGTCATGTGCCATTTAATAGGAATACATTCTGAGAATTATTAGCCAACTTTGTCACTGTGCAATCATAGAGTTCGCTTTCACAAACTGAGATGGTAAAGCCTACTGCACACATAGGTTACATTGTAGAGCCTATAGCTCTTACACTACAGACTATACAACATATCACTGTACAAAACTACAGAAGATAAAGTCAAGCACAAGAGAAAGTAATTCAATTAACAGATATGGTAAACAGGAGATGTATGAGGCTGCCACCAGTGTAACATGGCACACTGTTTTACAACAAACATTTTTTATATAAGTAGAAAGAGTACACTCTAAAATAATGATTAAAAATATAATATAATAAATACATAAACCAGTAATATAATTGTCTACTATCAAGTACTATATGCTGTTCATAATTGTATGTGCTATACTTTCCTACAACAGGTAGAGCAGTTTATTAGTTTATATCTGCATCACTACAAACACCTGAGAAGTGTGTTGCATTGTGACATTGGTTAAAGGAATTTTTCAGCTCCATTATAGTATTTATGGGACTAACCAATGCTCAACCAACTGAATCACACTGGCCAGGGCTGGTTTCATTATTTTTAAATATTGTTTTAAATTTTTAGAATATTAATGTAAGAAAAATCAGACTAGATCAGACAAACAGATCATGTGACCTACTATTAAAACATTGCCTCCAAGCAATTCTCCATGAGTGCAAAGGTTAACAAGTGGTACTGAGCATCAATACAACCCATTTTTTTTAGTTGTTTACCCTAAATCCGATTTGTATTTTTTATGTTTGTTTAAACGTTTGTATCATATTTTGTGTTTGAAAGAGTTCTGTACTTATTTTTTAAGAACAAGTTACAGTTCATGTCTAAGATGTTCATTTGGGGCATTCAGAAACAGTAACATGGAAAGGTTAATTGCCTTCTGTAAGGTTATTCAGATTTTATGTTTCCAAGTTATTTAATTTTTGGATCCATAACATTATTAATTAAAATTACAAATACAAACTATATCTGTATTTAAAATCTATTTAGACATGTTTGAAGACATATATATATATATATAGTGATATTTTAATAGGAAAATGTATGAGCAGGGTCTAAAACAGTGGTTCTCAAGTTGGCTCTGCATTAAAATCACCTGGGGGATTTAAAAAATTCCTGTCATTCCATATGTCACATCAGTATAATCAGAGTCTCTGGGGTGGAGCCCCAACATCAATATTTGTATTAAAGTTAGCCTGGTAATTCCAATGAACAGCCAAGATTCAAAATCAATGGCCCATAAAACTAATTGCAGAACAGAATATATGTAATCCACAGTATAATACTCTAGTGTAATGAATATAAACTGTTCATAATATACAGAGTTTTCTATTAATTCATATTGTTAAATAGCATTGAAAAGTGTATTACTTTGGGTGTTGGAAATATAGAGAATGCAAATATAGCACAGTCATGTGCCATTTAATAGGAATACATTCTGAGAATTATTAGCCAACTTCGTCACTGTGCAATCATAGAGTTCGCTTTCACAAACCGAGATGGTAAAGCCTACTGCACACATAGGTTACATGGTAGAGCCTACAGCTCTTACATTACAGACTATACAACATATCACTGTACAAAACTACAGAAGATAAAGTCAAGCACAAGAGAAAGTGATGCAATTAACAGATATGGTAAACAGGAGATGTATGAGGCTGCCGCCAGTGTAACATGGCACACTGTTTTACAACAAACATTTTTTATATAAGTAGAAAGAGTACACTCTAAAATAATAATTAAAAATATAATATAATAAATACATAACCCAGTAATATAGTTGTCTACTATCAAGTACTATATGCTGTTCGTAATTGTATGTGCTATACTTTCCTACAATAGGCAGAGCAGTATATTAGTTTATATCTGCATCACTACAAACACCT